TCTTGTTGTGTATCGTATTACCTTGTCCTGAATTTCGTTCTGGACCATCTGCATCTTCGATTACAAAGAGGTTTGATTTAGTTTGCGTACGCGATCGGAAGGTGAGTGTCTTGCGCAATAAAAATGCCTTTTATACGAAGAAGATATTTGCTAAAAATGATTCGTTTTGACTTGTGACAATTTCCGTGAATTGCGAGAGCGTAACAGTCTTGCCGTTATTACCGTCTTACTGCCCGGATAATTTGTTAATCTCAAACAGAATAGTTCTTGACATAATACATTTCTTTGCATATTAACCGTGAAAGCTATTTGATCGCCTGCACCGTATGCGCCACATGCAGAATGCATGTATCTCATTTTTCAAAGTCAGTGCGGTGCGCAGCGAGATGGATTGTGAGAAGTTAAAAAGGGCGCTTTTGCAATTGAAATTACCGCGATGGAGAATATTTTCGCTATCCGCCAGCGGGTACGGCATGGCACCTTGCCTCGGGCTCAAGGGATTAAAATAATAATAACGTTGGAAATTGGACACGGTCGCGGCGGCGGTGGCGGCGGTACCCTCGTAATCTTTGGCGGCCATATGCCGGTGTCAGCTGGAACGAAGCCAGACGAATGTAAAAAATGATCGCGCGCCTAATCTGCCATTGTGCGGGCCGAGTTGGGGCCCGCACACCGGCCTAACTTTATTCAATTGCAACCGTGGCTCTCTTTATGATTTCGCATTTCCGTTCGCGCGATAAAGAAAGAGAAAGGGACAGAGGGAGAGGGAAAATATTCGTTCTGCACGTGCCGCAAGATTCGATTGCCAATAAGACGAGCTGCATAAATCTGCCATAAAGATCAGTTGCCACAAAAAATGATCGTGTGGCTTCATATTCGATGTCGTTATCGTCGAAAATCGCGTGCGGCAACTCGAATTTCTGTGTGTATGTGACGCAAGTTGTTCAAAAATAACCATCGATTTTACGAGATCATTCTCGAAAATATCGTCCCATCGATTTTATATCATCGCGATCCCATAATCCGCGAGCCCGAGTTGATTTTTCTCGCGCGAGCACTGGGTTTTCGACTAAAGTCGATTTTAAATCGATTCGCGAAGAGGCGAAGCGATCTCACAAATGCCATCATAGAGTAAAAGCAATAAACTTTATAAAAATCCCTCATCGACTACGTTGACTCTTATCGTTCATCTTCTCGGTTCGATTCAATTCAAGTGCGATATTGTTTCATTATTCATCATCTCGCTTTTTCAATACCTGCTTCATTAACATACAACTATCCACGTAGCGCGCTTCCTTTACACAGTTCTTATTTCCATAAAACGTTGCAAATTTTAAATAGAAAAAAGTGAGTTATATAAACATCCGGATTGGCAAAAAGTATCAAAGACAAATTTTTCCATGATATAAAATATTATTAAATTTTTTTTTATTTTTATGCTATTTTTATGCTAAATTATAGTTACAATTATCTCATTTTGGGTGTGGAAAGAATTGATTAAACTCCTAATGTAAATTTCTTCTCTCATCGTATCTTGACAGAAAATTTAGAGCTCGTGGATAGGACACACAAAATAACACTGTAGAATATATCGAACAAGTTTTTCAGAAAGTCGGATTATATATTTATTGCTCGGTCCAAAATCGGATGCTCTGCAAATGGCGATTAAAAGCTTTCGCGGAAATGCATTTAGATGCAAAAACGTGTACGCAAGAATTGGAGCATGACGTCAATGTACACAGAGAAGATTTAAAGAGCGAATCGTCCTCTCTCGTTACATATTGAGATTCTAAAGTCGGTGGGGTTTAAATACGGTATTAACGATCGTTTGACTAAAAACGAGCTCTATTTTAAATTTACGTAGGATTAACGTAGAATCTAAAAAACATTTATATCCTCAAATTCTCGAAATAATTTCTAGCACCTCGTTTAACTCGATAAACAGCTTATTAGTTAACGAATCTTATTTTCGTGAGATAACTGCATGCACATTTTGTATATATACACTTATATTGCGCTCATAATCGTAAAGAATGGCCGGGATAACAGTTTGGATTCTCGAATCAACAAAATAAAGAACAATTTATACGTTCGTATGCCGAGATATATTTGCGATGACAATGTGTTTCTACGTTTCCGCGACCCTCCGTTTTTGCAGCCCTTCTCTTTTTTTATGAGATATAACGGCCGCAAGATTCGTAACGATTCCAGATCGCTAATACTCCCTCCACGTGCGCTTAATTAAGAAATACTGTAAAAGTATTAGGCCGTTGCGTCGGAGCTACCAAATCCAAATGAATGGTTTCCGCAACTAGGGTCGTTAGGGCATTATCACGCACCGTTAACAACATCGATTAGCGATTGTATCGTCCCTCCAAGTTCGAAGCGCGTTCTTATGGGAGTGCGTTGCAAGTAATTTACGATAAGTAGGTGTGTTTGTGCGCGCACGTATACATATATGCAATACACGACGTGGACGTCTTTTAATGGCGGTAAATTACACGAAGGCAAATATTTGTCAGAGAACCCAGCGCGGTGGCAGCCATATGTTTCTCCGACGCATCAATATTGAACGATTAATTATTTATATTATGCGCGTATCGTACAATTAATTAAGCAAATATTAGCGCGCAATGCAGTCGAAAACAATGTAACAATTATCGAATAATTACGAAACGTATTGAAATTATAAAACTGCAAAGTTTTAATTGTGTGGCCGCGTCGTGCGTTAACGAAATACATGCTACGAGAGGAACAACTATATATAAATTACTTACACTCGGCGACAGAATTGACTGCATATATCTTAGAGAGCGATTTTGCTGAATGGACGTACAAAAGTGACTACACGAGACGCATTATTACAACGCGGAGTCTATTCGTCGCGTGGCATAAATAACGTTGCGGCAAAGGGACGCGAGCTTCGCTCTCTGTCTGTATAAATAGATTCTACGTCGCGCGACGACATTTACTCCATTAACAATTGCGGCGTCGCAGCACGGCCAGCGGGTTTTATCGCGAGTCGAAAATAGAAGCGTCCGCGCGAACGACACAGGATGCAACAGTTATATTAACTCGGATACAACGAGCGGCAGGTGCGGCTGTGTGTCGTCTTACGCGGGCGATACGATTTTATTACGACGATAAGATCAAAATAAACTCTCGTGTTTGATACGCGCTTGGCTCTCGAGGCGAAACGAGTCGCGAGCGCATTTAAACGGAATCGGTGGAAATAGGAGAAACACGGACGGAAAAGTCGCGCGTGTGTGTCGGTGAATGAATATAAATTTCCAGGCGCACAGTCTAGAGAACCGTGGTTTATCTGAGCCGATCTAACGAGCTATGGCACACATTGGTTTTGAATAAGTCCGACATTAGAGGGAGCGCGGCGTAACGTGGGTCGTTTCGCAGAGATAAAACGAGATCGCGTTTTTGCATCCCCCGCTTACGTTTCGCGAGGAGGAGAGAGAACGATTGGTTAGCGCGCGTGGAAAAGAGAGGCGCCAGAGAAGGAGACAGGGAAAAGGGGTGCGGAGGAAGAGTAGCTCTGTTCTAGAATAGGAACCCCTTTCATTCGACGTCAGCCCCTCTTGATACCGTATAAAATATAGTATTGTTCGCGCTCTGTTAGTTCAGAGTGGAACGAGTATATTTAGAAAGGGGCGGCTTTCTTTCATATGTTAAACAGATCAGTGTCGATGAGATAGAAGAAAAGGAAGAGGAGCGAGGGTGGCAAGAGCCGCCGCAGCGACCGTTCTTTCACGAGGCTTTCCACAGCGACTGGTCCGTGAATTTTATACGGTCTAGCTCTCGACCTGCAAATGATAATCGACTTGACTTAATACCCTTAAACACTGCGGTAGCTATCGCTCTGGGGCAACGTGTCCTTTCTCTCGTTGAAAAATTGTAGTAAGGAGACAAAAACATGTGTAACACTCAAATTTTGATTTGAACTAAATTAAGGCTGTTTTTTACGTACAATCCCAGCAAAAAGTAGCTGAAAATCAATATTGACGAATATCCACTTTTGATGTATTTTGAGTATGAAAAATTGCATGGAATATTACAATTTGATTTTAGCTACAGTGTAGAGATGTATTTTTTAATATTTATTGCGTTTTTACTGAAATATTCCGAATTTTGTTGATCGAAATGATTAACTTTTGACAGAGAATTTCGCCTTGTGACATATATGCATGGCTAACTTCATTAAATTATATTTAATATCTTTTTAACCAGTTAGTATTTTGTATAATATTATTTGACCAAATATTTCCTCTGGATCTAAACTTTTGCAAATTTTCAACAAATTCTGAATATTATTTCCATGTGTTTTTGTCATTCGAATCGACGTGGTACGTTTCCCATAAGAACCCATGTTAATTCGGTGCAAATTAAAATCCTTATAACTTGTGAACGCTTTACTGAATCGATTTAAAAATTGTACTGAAGATTCTAAACATATGTAAGGGGACATTCTGTACAATTTTCATGAAATTCTCAATATTTTGAAAATAGGTAAAAAACACCTGAAATGCTTGTGTCATTGTCCCAAATCGCAAACTCTCGTGCCAAAGACGATAACAAAAGTTTTCCCCTTGATTCGTTAACTCGCTGATATCAATCCGCGCGTTGATCTTGGACGTTTCCGCGGCGCGGATTTCAGCGGAATCCGCGCTGGCCGATGAAACGAAAATGTCGAGCGCGCATTACGTGCCGTGTAATTCCGACGAGTTTACGGTAGAGATAAGTCAGAGTTGACTTTAGCCGGATTACCGGCGGGGTCGACAGGAGGGAGGAGCGGGTGAGTCGGCGTCCCTTACTATCCGGCCGTTATTATAAAAGTCATAATGAAAATCTAACGATCCCGAGCGAGCGAGCGCGCGGCGAGCAGGGCCGCGACGCGACGCGGCGGTTCCGCCGCGTTTCCGCGCCGCGGAAAATGAATTTCGCCGTGCTAGGACGTCGCGTTTAATCCCCTTATTTACTTTTGCTTTCAGAACACGTGCGGGAATTCAGCTGCGGCATGCTGTACTACAGGACGCTCTATCTGGACAGTAAGAGGGACGCCCTATACGTCGGAGCTATGTAAGTAGAACTTTTTTCCAGCTCCGTAATAAAATGTCACGCTATGAAAATCCCCGGGAAAAGTTGCCGCGTTCCCTCGTCAAAGCCTGAGGACAGTGGCATTACGTCAGCGTCGTCGCGCGGCCGTGTACGGAGGTGTGTGTGTGTGTGTGTGTGTGTGTGTGTGTGTGTACGTGCTACGTTACGGATTTTTACGATTGCTGTGATTAAAATTCTACAACGTATGCGGAATCGTGCTGTTTGATCGAATTTTTCCAATGTCGCCGGATAATCGGATGTAATCCAAACTTTGACGGATTACTCGTTACACGTGATATCGGCTTTCAGGATAATAATTATCATCGAATAGGCGATGTGGAATCGACGCCTGGATATCGCGTTTTTAGAATGAAGGAAGTAGGTTGAAAAATGTTATTTTAAAATGTTTTATTTTAAATGATTGTTTTAACTCGCGAATTGTATGAATATTTTTGTATTTATTTTTTACTACTAATTTTCTCCTTATTGTTCGTGAAAACCGCGAACCTGTTTACTCGTTTGTTTCACTTTACAGAAGATGATCAGAATTTTCTCGCTCTAAATGTTTCACTTGGCAGAAAGGCAATTTACTCGAGATCTTTGAGCTGCGGAGGAAAACGGCAAGGAGAGCAAACATATAATATAAATCGAAATTGACGATCTCGGCAATTATAGTTGTCGACGAAATGAAAAACGTCGTGTCAACAGAGATCAAAATTAATGAATTCACTATTTCATCCTTGAAACATAGCAATTTTAATCGTTGCAAACGAAAGCGCACGATTTATTATATATATATATATATCATCGTAAACAGCAATGAATAATTAGTTCTAAATTAACGTTGCCATCAAAGTTCTTCTTTACTAATGCTGTACTAATTGTTTTATATACTGTGTGCCAAACTCCCTCTATTTCTCAATATTTCCCAATTCTCCTTCTATTCAGTTCTCTCATGGAACTTAGCCGTAATTAAAAGTTGCGAGAGAGAGTTTCTTGCCGTTCCCTAGGTAGCAGTAATAACCCGTTAAATCGATCGGCCGCTCTTCGTTGCGTTCGTACGAGTATCGGGTTATTATTTCTTCGATGGTGACTCGGCGGGCGAGCAAAGGCTAAAGGGTCGGCCCTACGCTGTTCCCAGGAGTCGGTGCAGATTGCGGGAGGGAAACGTCGCATCATTACCAGTGGAGTATTATTTCTTGATTCGGTTCCAGCCGCTTCTGCTCGCCGCCACCCTTGGCAGACCATCCGCTAACGTTCGCCCTCCTATTCTCCGTTCTCTTTTGTGCGTCGCATCCCTTCTCTTAATTTGGTAAATGCCAGCAAAATGCTACGAAACCCCGGTAATGGAGACTCAGCGGGGATGGTTCTGCGATGCTTGCGGATACGGAGAAATCCCGAGGTAGACGAGGAATAACGTTTGTTTAATCCCTTTGTGAGATGAGACGGATCGTCTTACGAGGTTCTCTCACAATTCCTGATTCGAGCAAGCAAATATGCTTTCGTCAACGAAATGAGATTCAATTGACCTTGCTGCTTCGGAATCATTTAATGAATAAATAACGTTATAATTTATAATATGCGCAGGCAGCAATAGTAATTTTATAACTTTTTCTTTTTTCGGAATATAGATTCTGTACGTACATCTATTGTGAAATAATTGCATTTCTTGATATATCGCATATACTTGAAAAAAATACAATTTTTTTTCTCATTATCGATAAAAGATAAATTGGCAATAATGTAATTTGAAGGAAAAAAAATCAAATTAAATAAGATATAAATCACTTTGGCACAATGGAAAAGTAAAAAAATAAGCGCATAAAAGTTTCCGCTTTTGAGATAACTCCACCTTTTCATCCTTTTCTCTCTCTCTCTCTCTTTCTTACATCTTTGCGACGAGATGAGCTCACCACCATATGGGACGACAAAAGAAAAAAGTTACAATAAATTGCATTTCCCAAGGAAAGCGGCTATTTCGACTTTAACGTTTCCTGTTTCCTGGCTTGGTTCCATGTACTTGTATCGTTTCGCCTCATGTCATATATATACACACGTATCTATTCGCAAAACTACAATATCGAATAGAATTCCGATAAGAATTTCGCATAAAGAGAAATCGTTTCGACGTCCCGGATGATAAGGATCGATTAAGCTTCATGATCTCGCAAGACGCAATCTTCAAACGATTTTAAGAGCTTCGATTTTTCGATAGATCGTCTCGTGCTAGACCTTGCGCCAGTAGATCGCGATTCGCCCTTCCGTACTCGTTCTTTACGATTTCCTTTTTTCCTCTGTTATCGCGCACGACGATCGATACACGCGCGAACATTGTTCCTCGTTAATTAGAAAGGTGATAGCCATTAATTGTAGTTTGAGAATCGACACCCGCGTTGCGGTTCGCTCCGCAATTAAGGCACGCTAATTGAACGCTTCCAATTATCAAGCCGGAGACCCGTCGTCGGCACGGGAGGGGCAATACGCTAAAAAAAATACAGTTCGCTTATATCCGTCGACTCGTCGTCTGGCGTGCGTCTAGCGAAACGAGATAAAAATTCGTCGATCACATTTTCATCTCGTTCGGTGCCCGCATCCCCTTCTTTCTCTCTCCAGACCTTGCGTCGCGCGCTCGCGACAATCCGGCCGAAAAAGCGACTGCGACGGGATTAACACGTCGCATCCAGTCGCGATCGGTTTTCCTCCTAATTGTCCTCGGTAACCGTTGCTGGGAACGCTACGCGAGAGATTTCACCTCCGTTAACGCTCGCTGAAACAACCGGCAGAAGCACGTGATAACGTAGAGAAGTGAGTTACGGTCGCGAACGCTTGCGAGGTGAAAACTGCCACTGGGCGTCTGGCGTTGCAGAACCAACCGTGGCAATTGAGCTTTCTCCACCGGACGTTTTCGTCGATGTTAGCACTTCGGATGTCGTATATCGATTTGGCTGCGGATTACTCGTCGGGCTACATCCGACGAAATTGTATCGGGGAATTAGATTAAATCGCGTTAAATCCATGCATTTTATCCGTAACGTTTTATCCGCTTTTATGTCACTCCGTGCTTTCCCCTATTTATTTTATGAAGAGTAACGTTTTATAACGCCGGGGCTGCATTGCGGTTTATTGAAATGCCGACGTAACAATATTCCGTCGTATACGTATGCGTGCTCGTTGATTTATACCAGGAATTATTAAAATCGTTCTATTATGTTAAACCCATCTTGCCGCGCATATACATCTCTTTCCCGAAGGCGTCGGGATAAATAGCGCTGTTGCAAACGCCACTTTCCTGGCCCTTGTCATGTATTTTCCCAGGCCGGAATCTCCGAAGGAGGGTGGGCAGGATGAAGTAGAGGGGGAGAGTAGATCTCGACGTGTTGGATAATGCATCCCGGGTCAGAGCTGTCCGTCACGCTCAGCCACAAATTCAGACAACGATGCTTTTCGGATTTCGCCCGGCATTCGTCAGGCTCCTTTTCGCGCGCGGTGAAAATGTCCGTATTACGCACGCGCGCGCGCGAGTAGAATCGTATGCGTATATAATACTAAACACAAAAGCGCGGGGTGTGCGTGTAGTTGTTATTTCAAGCTGTCGGAGATCTATTTTGAACGAGAAAGCGCAACACGCGCGGTCGTAATCTCGTTGCTTCTGGATTTCGCGAACGCTCTATCGACCTTTAATAAAGTTTCCTTTTTTACGAATTAGCAATAAAATATGTTGAAATTTTCTTCCCAGCCCCGTCTTTTGTAGTTTAAGAAATTGCAGCACGACCTGCGCAAACTGCTCGAGAGGTTTTAATTAAACTTTCCCGCGGAAGCTCCTCGGGCGATGTTAAAATGTTAAATTGAACCAAATTCTTTTCTCGATTCTCGCGAGTCACACTTTCTTTATTTTTTTTTTTTTTTAAAAAGAAGAGAAAAAAAAAGTTCCACTTGTCAGGGAAGCGTGTCAATGAGATCTTAATGAAATTTTTCCTCGGCGATTTTCAATGGCAAAGTAATTTTTCAGTTTGATTACGCACGTTTTGCCAATCGAATTTCAAAGCGAGCTGAGCGATGACTCTGCAGCGCAACCCCACCTTTTACGCCAGGTTTCCCCTACAAATTACTTTTCTACGAATTTTTTCTTTCGATAGCATGAGCGACGTGCCAGCACGTAGACGATCCCCGTCGTTTTCGCGCCCCTCCCCCTTGCTTCTTCACATTTCCTTTCCACCTGCCGAACCCTCTGAAAGTTCGCCGAGACGAAAGTTCGACGCGGGTAGATTCCAAAGTACGGATTTGTTTTTCTACGTTGGTATTTACTTTTTCACGGCGCGATGCACAGAATGAATGAAAAAGGAGAGCCGCCGAGGGATAGGTCTTCCTTTTCCACGTTCTCCTCTTTTTTTTTTTTTTCCTTCTTTTTTTAGCGCGTTTCGCGCGCGCATTCCGTCTGACTGCGTATTTCTATTGAAAGCCGATGATGAATGGCTATTGGGATAAAGTTATGCGGCGCGCCGGCGTTAATGTTGCGAAACATTTGAAAACTGGGTAAATTCGATTTACGATCGGCGGCACCAGCGGTGCGTATACCTTTCACGTATGATCGAACGCGCGGCACCTCAGATTGCCGCGCGGTGGTCGCGGGGAAATTTATATGAAAATCTCGTACATGTTCTCGCACACATACACACAAGACTTTACGCTGGTAACGAACGTCTGCTCTATATTAATCGAAATGCATGAAATATACTATTCGAAATTTGATGTTAATGCTGGGCGAATAATTATGTGAAATAATTATTATTCGTAATTATATGAACTTTAATAGGAAAACTTTCGGGGGAAGCGTCGCATGGTAGTGATTCACATAGTTTATGTCGATTCCCTCAACTTTGAGATTCCTATTATAGTCCTTGACCATAAATCCCAAACGTTGAACGCGACGGTTGACTTTCGAGAAATAAGATTCGAATAAAAGCGGACGACGATATGAAAACGACACGACTTCGGGCCACCGTCGAATAAAGAAGAGACAATGCGAAACTCGGTCAGAGAGCGAGCGACTCATCCCACTCTAGCCTCCGGTCTCCTTTTCTACCCTCATAGAAATTCCGTGCCGTTTGTGAGCGCTCGCTATGTCGGGGAAGCCGTAAGCAAAGTGCCGCGGTGCTACACAACCATATATAACGGCGGCGAGATAAGGTAGGGTCGAGTCACGGAGAGTAATGCATCTCGCAGACGTTGGGAATGAAAATTTACCCCTCGACCCTTTCGTCTATCTCGCGACCACGCTTAATTCGGCCGTTACGCTAACACGAAACTTTCCTCTTCTGCTTTCAGGGACAAGATCTTCAGGCTAAATCTGAGCAACATCAGTCATTCCAACTGCGAGGTGAGTTGTCCAGGCTCTTAGGCTATTTTGTAATATCCGCATTTTGGCATGTTATTAAATATAGCATACATTTATCCCGAGTTATTTTCGATTTCAATATTGAACGAGCGGAATTAAACATTTAATTAAACTTTAGCTTCAAGAGTGAAAATGTGGATCTCGATATGTTTTAATGTGACTTTTGAGATAACTTTAATGAAGTTTATAACTTTTATTTATACAATACATGATATAATGTTTACTTTTAATATACCGAGTATATTTAAAACATCGGGCAAAATGTAGAGATAATAATCTAATATAATTATGTTTTGGAATTGTAAGAAACTTTAATGATATTATTCGCTACTTTCTCGAGATTGTAAGTTGCTTCGTATTCGTCTCTCTTTCCCCTTAAAGAGCTGTACATTTATTTAAAAAAAAAATCAACCGAAAAATTCACCAATAAATCTCAGAAAGAACGTAATTCACTATAACACGCACTCTCTTTCTCTACAACCATTGTATTGATTAGCCTCAAATACGTCACGTGATGTTTGGTTCCCCCATTTTAGAGGGCGATAAAAGTCCAGATCGTAACTTGGAAAGCTCATCCTCATAAAAGTGTCAATCATGCATAGTCGAGCGAAACGACATCGACGTCATTGGAACAGCTGACGTGTATCTACCATGGCTAACCGATCCATTGTGGATGAACGAATCGCACGATGATTTTTTTCCACGCGCTCCCTCGTCCGGCTTAAATGCATATGATGTGTTCGATTTAAAAACTCGCAAAGTGCATTCGCGTATATTCTCGTTCGAGTGACAGCCGAGATACAAACAATCGTGGATAAGTTTCGATTACGAAGCCATCGAATTGTATTATATATAACATAATGCGACAATTGCATAACTTGACACGTTTCCACTCGTATCGTGACATTTGAGATTTTTTTTGCGCACAAAAATGCGCACACTTTTTGGACGAGTTTGGGTAAATGCGACGCGCTCGATCAATCGGGAATTGAATCAAAATTGCTATCTCGCCTTCCTGATGTTCTTCTACATCAGGAATGGTAGTTGGTTGCCAGACGCTCGTTCGGCCGGAGAGGGAAAATTGCTTTTTAACTCTCTCCGGTTGCGACAAGGTGCGCCAGAGTCGCATCCACCTGGTGGTGGCTACCTACAGACCGTCTCGTTCGACCGACTTCGACCGGAATGAAATCCGATTGTCGGCGTTGTTCGTCGATTTGTTCCCTTCCGAGAGAACAACGAACGTTCCGACAACGCCCCGCGGCCCCGATTGGAAAATCACCCGGCTCTTTCCAACAAGCTCTTCCACCTGCCTCGACCTACCTCCGCTCTCGACCTACAGCTTCCGGCAAGTAGTTCGTATCTAGTACTTCGACAGTGGCGTCGGAGTTTTACGCGTTATCGCGCGGCACGATTTTACAGTCGGTTTCTACTGTTTGAGAAAATAGACGGTTATCTACAGACTTTCCTCGCGAAAGAGGTGAAGGATGCTCGAATGATATAACGAAACATTTCCAAGAGCGAATATATACACACAAAGCGGAACGTTTTATATGAGAGAAGCGGTTCCGGATAATTTCGAGTATCTTTATACCGGTGAACCGCAAGTACATTTCTTCTTAAAACAGATAATAATAGCAAGAAAATAATCGATATACGTACGATTCTTTCTTTTCTTATTGCATTAATTTTTTTATTAAATTTCGTACGAAATTATTACGTCTGTTTATATCCTTGTGAAAAAAGTATGACTCCAACCGAAAAAAGAAATTATTTCTCGAACGGACAAGGTAGGCGACAAAAAACGACGGACCGATGCTTGGGGGAGAAACGACGATTCGAAAATGCAATTATATTCGTATCGTTGTCGGTTCACCACCTGTCGCGAGAACGAAAAACTGCCTCGAACAGAGGAGAGGAAACGGGGCGTCCGGCCCGCCCTCGTTCTGTCACCCCGTCGTTTCTCGTTTCGGCTTTCATGCCAGATGCGATTGTGACGGCGCTGAAACTAATTTTAACGTGGATGACAACGCGGTCACACGGGAACCGGGGACGCGAAAACGTCGAAGCATGGTGGATAGTTAGTCTTCGCCTCCGGGCCGTACGTGATCATTAGGTGCGCGGAACGAATTCATGTACACGATGTGAGAGAGTTATTCGGCACGGACGGACCATCCTAACCGAGTTCACCGTGCAGGGATGATATAAAGTTTGCGCGAATGTAACTTACGTTCCGCATGCTGGGGTTTCTGCGCGGACAAGTTGCTCGAAAATTGTGCCAACGATAGCGTTTCCGCCGCGAAGTTTGGGAAAACTATGAAACAACATGAAATAATTCTAATAGCTGGTAGTTTCGCCAACAACAGACAACTTACTCCGTGCGATTGCATTAAACAATCACATGCGGTGGATTATTACGAGAGTGAGGTGTGTTATTTTCAGCAAATTTCATCTCCGTCTGATTCCGTAATTTCGGGACGCGAACGATTCGGTTCGGTTACAATCGCATTACGAGATCGGTGTGTTACCATTACCGCAGAATTCGATTCCATTGAGAATGAACGAGCACGGAATTTCGATTTTCGTGCTAGCGATATGTGGCCGTAAAACGTTAACGCGCGGGCCCGAGCAGGCCGCAGAAACCATTCTCCCCTTCTTTTGTTCCCTTCCCTAGGTCCCTGGAGCATTTCGATCTGCCAGGGATGCTGATGTAGGGTAAACTGGAAAGCGAGATACGTGAACGCGAGAGGTAAAGGAGATGCAAGAAAGAATATCACGTGTGGGATGATACAATTTTGCATTTTACATATATGTATGATGATCGTCCGACTGCGGGAAGGATCGTGGCGGATGTTGCGAGGAGAGATGCCGAATATGGGGTCGGATCGACTCGAAGGTGTTAGTTATATATATTGTAAGTCGAGTGGGCAAGAAAAGTAACATAGCCAAGTGATGGGTGATAAAAGTGAAAAATATGTTCAAGTGGTTGTTTGGGTCTCGGGGTGAGAATACGACGGTTATACGACTCATATTTTAAATGACCGCTATTTACATGAGAAATTTTCTAATAATCTAACGATTAATCTCCTGTTCCGATATCACTGAAAATTTATTAAATTGTTTAGAAAGTTATTTATACATTTTTTCATTATATACATATTTTGTACGATGAAGATTAGAAAATTTTGAAAACAATTCGACGGCGAAAAATTCGCTCAAAGTCCATTTCTGGCGTTTTCCATAAATTTCCATTTTGACGATAACCCGAAGATAGATACATGCCAACACGAGAGTCATATTCCTCGGGATTAAAGATGTACATTTAAAATGACATTTTCGGGAAAGTGAGGATGGAAATAGGTACGTTCGACGGTCGGGTCGATTTCGATAGCATCTCGCTACAACGTTAACCTACCCTTCGCCACGGAGACAATGTTCCATGCTAATCCTGCCTCCGTTACAATTTCATAAGGGGAAGAAACGAGTTCGTGCGTCCGCCCTGAGGGACCGCACGCGTTCCAGGCGAGTTATAGTACGTGGCTAGAATAGACGGCCGGGAGGTTTTAAGCTCCGCATATCCTACAAAGGGACGGCTGCTGCGTGATGCCCGAAGAATACACGCGAAACGGGAGTTGCACGTTCTTTTCCCCTGGCGCATTTTAAAAGCAACAAGCAAAACGGATCGATATAGTTGACGCGTGTTTTCTAAAAATAAACTTTCTCATTTTAGGTTTGTTTGTGGTTGTTCGAAGGGAAACGCACGTTCACTATATTTTTTGGGTTAGAAAAATATCGAGTACGTTTGCCCGATGACTGCGATTCAGATGCGCAATTTCGGAAAATTAAAAAAAGAAAAAAATGTTAATCGATGCATGATTATTTTTTTCGAAGCAGAAAGATTATGAAAGAATAACTTTACCGAGTAAATGCATATTCGATAAAGAGAAATGCACCAATCGCTTAGCGATTTCGAGTTGGTATAACCGAGAGACCAGGTAATTTTGCTTCCATGGACGCGCGCTCGTGCAATCTTTGTATCTTTATCATCGTCTTCGAGAACGTGCATCGAACGATAAGACCAGCCTCGCTCGACTTGGCTATTTTTTTGCACGTTACATCTTCGCCGAAGTACTCGGGTCTTGTGCAATACGAAGGAGAAGCAGCAGCAGCAAATCCTTCTCACGGCAAAGCAGCGTTATACGATAAGACGAAATCGTCTGATCGATCCCGAAGTACGAGGAGGAGTATCGATCGAGCCGGCGTACGCGAAAAGAAGTCGTCCATCGTTGATCGCGTAACGAATTCCGACATTGGATGCTCAGACCGAGACGAGCTCGGCCGCGCCGTGAATAAAGCATGCGGCAGCCGATGGAAGCAGGAAGCGATAGGATGAAAAGCGTAAGTGAGAGGAAGGTGTGCGAGAGTAAGATGGTAAAAGGAGCGGAACCTAAATGCGCGCGGATCTCGTCGAGAAAATCGAAATCTATAAACCACCGCTACGTCCAATAAAGCAACGTCCAAACTGAGATGGAGCGGGGATTCAACGTCCGATATTTCGACGATGATTTCGCCGACACACGCGCAACGATATTTGATATCTATAGGGCTGCTGCACAAAAATTGCTCGACAGCGGAAGATTGGCCCAGGAGCGTCGAGCGGTTTTACGTTTACTTGACGTCACTGAAATATTAAAAAATCCTTTACAGGATTTACACGGCTGTAAAATCGCTCGAATGAGATACGGCGGCTCTTCCTCGCGAAACGACGATATTCCCACTGAAAGAACCCATTTGGAAGCGCGGAAACGAAGGGATACTTGACATTCCGGTGCATACGCAAATGCACGTGACACGAGCGCAAGGTCCACGCATGGTAGTAAACAATTCTTGATATCTGAAATTAACGGCCGCCTCTGCGTTGCTTCCTAAAATGATAATATTAAATATACATTTAGCACCGTAGTACACGTATAACTTTCAGCCTA